GTTCAGGTTTTGCTGTCCTAAGTAATATGGCTGACTTCTTTAATGAATAGCCATGAATGAATAATGAATGAATAATGAATTTAATGAATGAATTTTTAAACCAATAATTAGAGAGAATTATTGAAAAGTGGCTGATGTTCTGCGACTGCGTATAATTGAAATTCTCGCATTGGACAAATTAAATGAAGACAGTTAAAATAACGAATATGCGCAAAATCGCGTTCCATAAGTCCACATTAAGTAAGTGTTTATTGTATAAGTTTGTTCGAATTAAGAAAATTAATGTTATACTTTTAAAATTTTATATGATCTATTAATCAGCCTTCTTCGTACATTGTATTACCAATATTTTGGCAAAGATTCAGGTCTCAACATTAAATATAATTCCAGTGCTATTTTGTATTTCAGAGATGTTTGTAACCTTACAGTCGTATTTTCCCCTATTCTTCTTTCTCCTCTCTCGATCTATTGTCTTAAGTCTGCATTAAAATTCCTTCTTTTAATTATTTCGAAAAAAGGTTCTCATAGATAAGAATAAGGTGACTTAATAATAATATAAATTTTAAGACGCAGATTTAATACTTATCTCATTTTTTAAAAACATTTGGTGTAGGTTTGACTGTATGTTGCGGAACTATATTATGAAGAAAAGTTTTCGTTGAAGGTTTCTTGGATAAAGAGATGAAAGTTCTTTGAATATAGGAATACTTTAAACACTGTTTAGATAATATGAACAGTTATTTTAGCATTTTTCTTCTTTTTTTTTCTTCAAATTTTAAGGTCCCATTGTAAGAGAAAACTGCAATAATCATGAATTCTTTATTGAAGCGTTCTCTAGAACAAGTTTTTGGTACTTTTCTTCAATTTTGCAATAGTAAATAGATTTCTTTATTGTAAACATAAGGATGAATCCATGCTTCGTCAAGAGTTACAGTATATTTCTCTTTGTTTAAATAATTTTAATGAGCGTTTACATGCTGTGCTTTCAACTGCATGTCTAAATAAAAGGCATTCAGTATTTAATTTGTAAACCTTTCCAAAGATTTAGAGTTTTGTTTGTAATTTTGTCTCCATTGAAGGACATGTATGTAATTCAAAACATTGTGTTTGTTCTTTGGATCGTGCGTTTTCTTTAGAGACCAGAGACTTTGAAATTTAAAAGACGTTTGTAAATTCGCAAGATAGCAAATACAAGATCACTTGGGATTTGTTCCATTAATTCTGTAATAAAATAAGTTGCGACTTTTAGAGGCCTTTAAACTTATTTTATCAGCTTTAATGAACTTGAAAATATTTAGTCGTTAATTAAGACACAATAAAACGCCTAACAAATACTAATTCAGAAGTCAAACAACAAAAATAAGCGTTATATTTTGTTATTCGAAACTGTTTGATTGAAAGCATATCTAGGATAAAGGTTATATTGGGTTAGTGATTCTACATGTGGCTATTATTAAACTTTCAGTAGTGGAATTGCATTTAATTTAAGATTATTTTACTTTTAATTGAATGAAATATTATTTAACAGTGACAATTATAATTGACTTTAAACTCACTTCAGAAGAGTAGTAGCATGCAAGTTCTTTGAAATAAAAAGCAATGGGATTTGGTTATTGATAAAAATTTAGCAAATCTTGACATATTTTTAATGTTTCATGCAAATTTTATTAAAATTTTTATTTAGAAAATAAGTTACTTTTATTATTGGGTTCAGCAAAAATCATTTATGAATTCATTAGAATCCATTTGAAGAATGATACTGAAATTTGCATAAAAGTAAGACCCATCGTTTTTGCTATATTTTGTTCTAAATTAGGTAGGATCTCATAAACGGGCCTTTTAATTAATGAAGTTGTAGAATGCGAGGAAGAAAATTAATTATTATATTACAGAGAATAATTAGTTTGTTTAATGCTTAACAAATCATGCAAGTAGATACCGTATATATAACCTGCATAACTACCGCTAATTAATAAAGTCATGCCTCGTTGAAAGATTTAAATTTATACCTATATCCACTATATTAATTACTTGTATGCCTGAAAACAAAAAGCGATGATATATCATTAATGTTTCCTTCTATATGTAATAGAATAATTAAGTGGTTTATTAGAACCACGCTCATTAAATATTCACCTACATTTTTATTTCTTGAAATTTATCCTAAAATGTAAGTAGGTCTTATATTCGAGTAAATCTGCTACAATGTTTTTCATTCAGGATGTTTTATCAAACTCATTTTCAGACTCTTATACTAAATAAATAAATTTGTAAAGGATTAGTGATCCATAAAACACTATAAAAAACTGCTTTCATTCGTTTTAGTTACTTTTGTTAATGGCATAATTTCATACATACAAAATATATACTTAAGGATATAATAAGTTATATTGGGTGTACATAAATGTTTAAAAAGTAGAATTATAATATTATTCAATATGCTTACTTAGATTTAAATAAGTTCCACTTATGATCGTTTAAGTATCTCGCCAGTCCATGAGCAATACAAATTAAATGCTTTGAGGAAATTTAAAACCTAATAGAAGCATTTACAGTTTTCTTAAGTGATAAAACATGCAATGATTATGAGAAATTATTCTTTTAAGAGCTTTGTCCCCAAAGAAATAAATTTTGAACCTATTCAAATTATTAATTTATACTACTTTTTTTTTATTAAAAGTTTCCGCTTGATAGGAGGAAAGAATTTCTTTTGTGGAGGAACAGAAGGATCATATCAGTTTTTTAAACTTAAAGATTAAAATCTTCTACATGCTTAGTAAGAAAAATTAGAACATTTATCTAGGCCACGTTTCGCTATCGATTTTTGATTATTGACTTTCCTATCAAGGATGCAAGATTAGACAACAATTTAATATTTATTACTCATGTATTTTATTATAATATGTAACATAATGTAATTCACAAAGCATTATTGTAATAGTTATTTAATCGAAAAAAATTCATCCAGATTGTGTCATTTCTATATACTATATTTTATATAGGAACATAAATTAAATCCTTAATAATTGTTGGAGCAGTTTGGAAACAGTCAAAAATAAGTAATATTTATTTTATCATATATCTCGAAGAAAACCTCTTTGACGTATTTAATAAAATAATGTTATAGTTTGTATTTCATAGATTTTATGTCCTGGCAATGATGAAAATATTACCACTTGAGGTAAATATTTTTTGCAAGCCTAGAGTGTAAGCCATTAATTGAAACAAAAGCATAAATTAAAACTAAACTCAGCGGCGTAACAGCCCTAATGGACCAAGCGCTGCAGTGCCTGAAATCTGCTCTCTTGACCGTGGGCCCCGGGGTGCGTAAGCATATGCCCTGAACAATGGGTCAGCTTGTCATAGGACTCCCAGTGTTTAGTCCCCAAGCGAACTTAGTACTCATTTTATCGACCCAAGTGATGGAAATCAAAGGATGAAAGGCTGAGTGGGCCTTGAACAGCCCGAGCATCCAACTCCGGACCTGTGGTGCTGGTGCGCGATGCTCTAGTTACTGCACCATCGAGCCTTGAAATAAAGGAATAGCTATGTTTTTAAATAGTTAAGTCTTTGTTTTCTAAATAAATGCAGAGTTTTAGATTGTTGTTATTTATGATTAAAATATATAGTACACATTTTTGGCACCATTTAGCTTTGACATTTTGAGCAACTTAAACGTAAGATTTTATGTCTGCATCTTAAACATTTTAATTTAAATTGTCCTTAGGCGTTAAACGGAAGTTTGCATACAAAAATTTAATTACAATTATTTTTTAATCTTAGGATTTTTATATGTCAATCAAAAATATTTTTTAAACTTCTTGAAACTTAAATAGTAGACTCTTCGATGTGTCAGTTTACGTTTGAATTTATTATCCTTTCTAAGGAATAATGTTCTAATTTTACATTTAGTTGATTTTAAATTCATAAGACTAAAAAATAAATGGTTTTTAATTTTAAGGAATAACATTCTTATTTTATAACATTTGAACTTAAATTTACCCCCCTTTCCTTTCAAATAAAAGATGAACTGATATGCATTAATATGTCCAATTTAACCTATGTAAAAAACATTGCCCTTGAAATAACAATAGCTTATACAAATTCTGTTTACATCACTTATAAAATTATTTCTTCATAAATATTTTCGGAAGAAAATCTTATTATAACGGAACTGAAACTCAAAAAATAACAACACTTTCTGATGTATCATTCAATTATTTATTGATGTACCATCAAATAAGAAGTTTGATTAAACTAGCTAAAGATATAACAGGAATAGAAAATTTCTACTCGTAAGTATTATTCTTGATAACGAAACTTGTTCCTGATTATTCATTGATCATTGCGTTTACTATCATTAACTTCTCTTCCTTCCCTTTTTTAGTTTTACGTATACTGTTCTTTTAATTGTAAAAAATATTCTTAAAATTACAGGTAATTTTATCAGATATTCAAGATATTATTTTACCATAAAGATTTTTCGTTTTACCACAAAGTTATACATTCTAGATGTGATTTCTCCGCACAGTATAGAAAATTCATGATTACATATTTGATTCAAAATTATATATGCATCATATTTCATCTACAAAAACTCCCTTTGTTATTATACTTAGCTCTTAAAAACGTATAAGGGAACATGTAATTTACTTTGTTCATTTACTTATTCGCATTTATATCAATTTCTGGATGAAGAAATTTCTTTTTGCTATCTAAAAATGATTTTTAAGATCTGAATTTTTAGTTTTTATCGAGAAAATACTATCTGCAAAGATCGAGAAAGTAAAATAAAAGAAAAATGTCAATTTATTTAGCATGCGCTTATAAAAGTTACAGAAGAATAGCAAATCCTCTCTCAAAAAAGAGAAATTTTCGAATAGAGATAAAATATTCAGAATTAAAATGTAGTTTTAGAATTTTAGTTTAGAGTTTTAGAAGGAAAGCCACAAAATAAAAAAAAACTGAGAGAGATCAAGAAAACAAGAAACAGTTCTTACCGCCAGCAAATGTCCCACCACATAGGAGAAACCAATAGACAGCGCTTTGAAACCCATCTCAGTTCTGTGTGGATCCATGTTAGCGAGCACCGTAATGACTACTACCACTGAAGCAAGGAACTCAATTCCAAAAGCTTCGGACGCAGCAACCCCAACTGCGGGTTCTGTGGCACCAAGTCCCGCACTGGGCCTTTGGCTGTGCGGGGTAAGTCCATATAAGATTCCGGCTCCAGCAAGGCCTCCCAGGCACTGTGCTGTCACATAAGCTGCACTCCTGGTCAAACTGATATGACGTGTAACAAGCAAAGCGACAGTCACTGCAGGATTCATATGCCCCCCGCTAACTTGGCCTACACACTGAACTAGAGTGGCTACGGCGAGACCGAAAGCAAGAGCCACACGCAGTTCGACGGCCGAAGCTGTCATTTGATCAGCTGGTGGGGCCTTCCATCTCAGACACGACCCGCATCCCAGGACGGTCAGCAGTAAAGTAGCCAAGAATTCTGTTCTCACGGCTTTCCAAAAATGTTGATCTGTCAGTTCTTCCTTCACAGTAAAGTCCTGCGGTAAAGAGTCCATATATCTCCGCATGGTTTCCACCGGTGAGTAGCCGTTAGAGGCACCCGCAGAATTGGTCAATTTGACAGCCGGTCCCGTAGCCTCTGGGATGGAATAAAGATCATTAGGATTAGCCATAACGGCTAGCCTATGCGGCTGGCCGGCCTTTTGCTCTCTCTAGCGACGTTCGCACCGAATGATCTTCCAGTGCCTTTTGCGCTGACAGAGAGCGCCTGGATTTCCCGGAGCCTATCTCCGCTTCAAAAATCCCTATCTTTTTCCCTTCGCCCAACTCAAAAATACCTAAATTCTCTTCTCGAGTGGTCTTGGTCCATAACTTGTTGCACTAAATGGTAAATTATTGCTTTTTAATAAGATGTACTTCTTTTGTTTTCATTACATTGGTTTATTAAAAACATTATTCTGTTGAATGTTGAAAAGAAATCATTGATAACAAGTAAATATGCGAGATATAGTTGCTGATAATATTAGAAGAGATTTGCAGCTTTCCCATAATCTATACATCGAAACTGAATTACGCAATTCTGAGAAACAATGTTAAAATGACGTATCTGAACATGTAGCGTAAATATATGGTCTTAGAAACTTCACAAGTCCTTAAAGAAGAAAGGAAAAAGTGTTAAAAAGGAATCATTGAGAACAAGTAAATAGAGGAGATATAGTTACTGATAATTTTGAAAGGGATTTACAGTTTTCCCATAATTTATACAGTGAAACTAAATGACGCAATTAAGAGAAACTAAAATGAAATATCTGAACATGTAGCGTAAATGTAAGGTCGAAACCTGACGTCGAACCCTTAAACCTTAAAGAAACCTTAAAGACAAACATGAAATAATTACTTATATCTTTAAACCAATGAGTATCGGAAAAATATGAATTAAAAATAATTAAAATAATCTGAGCGGTTTCACATTTTAACGATCGCTCAAAAGGATTTGTTAATATTTTTTATGTTGTCACTGAGCTCGCAGTCTATTGGTCTGCTGTTGCACTCGCTCCTACTAACTCACTTTTTTTTTTGTCATTTTAACTCTATTATTAAGCATAATTTTCTTCATATTTACGCCATACACAATTCAACAGTAAATTTACAAAAATTATAAAAGTTGCATAACAGTTCAGAATTCCCGATGCAGCGTTTAATATTTGCATAAATATTTCAAATTTTTTCCAGCCTTTTCTCAGTTCATCTTATCAATGTTCAGATTTCTTACGAAGATGGCTTTATAAAATTTTTTTCTTTTTTTAGTATTAATATTTTGTCTGTTTGCTACGCTATATAAAATTCGATTCAACAGCAAAATCACAAAATATTTAAAAACAGCATATCTTCAGAATTTCTGATATAGAGTTTCGCACGCTGGAGATAAAAAATTTTTTTTCGTACTTTTACGCCACTGCTCGCTTTGAAATTGTTGAGTTTGTTTATCAAAAATTCATTAAAGTGCTCCAAAATATGAAATACACAATAAAACAAATCGAAATTCAAAATTTGGTCCTCCATGGGCCTATTTTGATGTGGAGGACTATGTTATTCAAAATTTGATGGCTGTAGGCAAAGTTGTTTTTCACAATGCTAGAAACAGGCATGCATTCATGCAGATTTTTCATTATTTAATTTCTTTTAATATAATACAGGACGATAATATTTGGTGACAAAAATTTGGAAAGTGATACGCCGTTTATAGAGATTCAATACAAAAGGCCGTTTCGAGACTAATATTCCATTCGGGACTAACGTCCCTTTTAGGCTAAAAATTATGATTAGATTATTATTGTCAATTTTCGAGTATCGGAAAAAATATAAAACAAAAGTTATAATTCGAATATTAGTCATTTTTCTCTCAATTCTTAAAACTAGCTTTTGGTTAAGCGTACTGTTACAATAAAATACTTTTCTTCAAGAAAATCTTATTACAAATTTGTGTGACTCTTGCTATATTACTACCTTAAAATGCTCTAAAAATTATTCTCTTCGATAACTTACCTTCTAAATACGTTTATTATTTAAGTGTGAGAGAAAGATATATTAATCAAACATATTTTGGTTTAATATCTTTATTTATTTATATGATACTTATGCTAAATAATTTGTACTAAAAACAATCTAACACTTCTTATCATATTCAAGGACAGGAAATAAAGTAAGAAAATTATTGATATACATTTGCAATGTATATTTAAAAAAAGCTCAAATAAACACTAAAAATTTTATTTTTTTGAATGAAGGCATATTTTGTTATATTGTCTAGCTTGATTCGTAAATTACAGCATCTAAATTTACGTTACCCTCTTAATACATTATAAAGCTAAGAAACGAATTAGAATATTTTAAAAATAATGCTTTCCAAATCTGCAATCTTCTAAAATTTTAAACAAGTCGAGCAGGCTTTTCGTATTTACCCAGCTATTTACCTCATAAATTAAAGGACTATTTTTAAAATCGATTAAACTCCATAAAATTTAAAATCACTGCAATATGTATGCTAAAGTAACTTATAATGAGAAAAAAGAATCGCTAGCTCGTTTGATGTAACCACTCAACATCAGGTACTTTGTTTCAGGAAGGAGCTTAATATGCTTAAAGAAACGATTTAAGAAAAGAAAAATATTGCAAGCTATTAGCGATTAAATATTCTGTCAAAACTTTGGTAAAGGGTTTTCAATTTAAGGAATTAAAATTGAAATGTTTATAAATGTTTGAACACAGTTATTAGTTTTTTTAAGGTATACTTGTACCGAATACTACTATTGAAATAAAGAAACAAAAATTAGTGGTGTTTGAAAATTGCTTTCTTGAGTATTTTGAGTTCAGTTATAAATTTGCCTACTTCACTAATGCAATTCCAACGAGATTTTCCAAAATACCAGTAGCCGAGTGGTTAATACTGCTGAATTCTGGTGTTCTTCTTGGATTTATTCCAAGAGAACTGGTTGGCTACATCGCTGGATTTCGTAGTTTTTCCCACGTGTGAGTTTCCCACATGCAATATCATTCATACTTATATAGCATCTGGAAACAATTAACATGTTATCTGCCAGTGAGCTGTACTGGGAATATAAAGAAAAGTTACTTAAACAACTTACTTTTAAAAAATCTTACATAAGATTAATTTATTTCATACTTATTTCAATAAGTATTTAAATGAAGTTGATTTAAAAAATAATTTGTTTTAGTTATAGAAATGATACAGTGTACATAATTCCACGAAACATTTTAAAATTTATAAGAAATAACTTAAACAAATATGCCAAAATATATATTTCGCAAATCCAGGGAGAGGAATTCACAATCGACCACAACGTTAGCGCTACGATTGTGAAGATTTTGAACATTAGCAAAGAGTGAAGGTACAAGGATAATATACTATGAAAAATTCCCACAAAAACAGTGCATGGGATTAAATTTGGGTAGTCTCAGCCACTGTATTATCTTTTACACCTGTACATAAGATCTACCCTTACGGTAAATCGTGATTGAGTTACTCCTGAAAATATGACAAATTTTGAATGAGATATTCTCGCAAATGCTCTCAGTCTTTGTGGTGAATTTTGATGAGATACTCTAACAAAGGACTTATGTTCTTTTTAGAGACATTAGGTTATTTTTGGAAGTCTGAGAGATAAAAAATGATCAAACGCCTTCGCCGGGAATCGAACCGCGGACCTCTGGAATACCGGCCCAGCATGCAGAACCACTACACCACAAAGGCACGCTAGCAATGCAGGAGAAACACCTTATATCTTTACAGAAACGTTTGACTGAGATATTCTCGCAAATAATTTCTGTCTTTATAGTAGAGTTTGACTGAGATCACTTGACACTGACTTTATGCTAAATTTTGAATGAAATATTCTCACAAATGATCTGCATTTTTTAGGCAAATTTCCATTGATATCTGAAAAGTGGTCTCTATCGAGTATTTTGATCTAAATATTCTCGCAGATGATCTCTGTCGTTTTGAAAAAAAAAATTGAGATATTATCGGAAATGATCTATGTCTTTAAGGTACATTTTGATTGAAATATTATTGAAAATAATCTCTGTAAAAATTTTAATTTAGGTTCTTTCGCAAATGCTTCCTGGTTTTGTAGGAAATTGCACTGAGATATTCTCGCAAATAGCATTTGTCTTTGCCGCGGATTTTGACTGAAGTGTTCTCACAAAGGTCTGTTTTATGGTAAAGTTTGATTGAGATCTTGTAAGTGGCTTGTGTGGCAAATGTTGACGGAAATATTCTGGCGAACGGATTCTATTTTTTTGGCAAATTTTGACTGAGCTATTTTTGTAAGTAGTATAAGGTTGGGCTAGATATTTGAATTTTAGCCCTACAACACTACTAGATTAGTAGCAAGTTATCACTATGTTTATAATAGTGCAAAGAAGAATTGTGAAGATTTTAGATAAGCTTATTATTAAACTGAACTTTTAACATAAAGGGCACGACTCGTGCTATAGGGCATGTGGAAGCCTAAATTTAAAATTTGGAATTTGTTTTTTTATCAATTTCATATTTTGTAAAACATTAACGAATTTTTAAGTAACAAACTCAACGGTTTGAAAGCGAGCAATGGCAACAATCTACGGGGTGGGAGAGCCTTTTTATTTCTAGCGCGCGGAACTGTGTATCGGAAATTCTAAAGATAGGCTCATTTTAAAATTATTGTGCGACAAATTGAACTGAAATTTATGGTTTAAATGAGAAGAACATGATATTTAGTAAATACAGGTAACACACAAAACGTTAAAAAAGCGCTCCTTTGGATGTAATTTAAAATCTGAGACCTTTTAGACTTTTTTAAATTTTCAATTTTTTTCTCTTATTTTGGTTCAAGTTGAATTGCAGAACTGTACGACAGCGCAGAACTAACGGTGCGTTATATAATGGTTTCAGTAAGAAGAGTTATTTACGTTGTTACCAGCGATGCTTCTTAAAAAACATAATAAGCTACCGAAATTCATGATCTACATTGGCCGATTTCTTCACAGTTTTCGAAATAATCGCAAGGAAAAAGTACAAGAGCGCGCTTTGATTCTGCTTCAAAGATTCTACGCTGTTCTAAAAATATTTATGTTGTTATAAAGAGTAAACGAACATGGAACCATCTAACGATTTTATAAAGATCTGATGATAGAGGGAACGCAACAAAGTGACGTCAAACTGAGATAGGTGAA